TTTTTTTTTTTAAGGTCTGCACAGTCTAGAAATGGCACTTTTCAGTCTAACATGCTTTCCTGGCTGGAAGAAAATAGCAGCAGAAACGGCACAAAATGAAAAATATGTTCCTGGGAGAATGTTGCAAATAGGATCATCCTCCTTTACATATGTCACTGCAGGAAAACTGCCAAGAACTGCTCACTCCTCTAGACATATTTCCTGCAGATCCTCCAAACTCCTCCTTAAACACATGTCAGTATTCTCATTCTCCCTTAGTTTCAAATCTCCTTTTGCTCCATGATTTCCAAGTACAAACTTAGTCTCAAAAATAAACAGCAAAATCATACCTAGTAGTTAATGACGACCTATTTATCAGCCCATGTCTCACATCTAAACAAATAATCTAAAGTTTATATAGTAAAATATATATAAATCTTTAATAATGATGCCACATATCATATTACTAAAGCAAACCAATGTATATGCTATGTCATTAAAACAAAAATTATTTGCATATAAAAGATTTATCATAAATTCAAGATTAAATGTTTTTCATTCAATGAGCAGAATGTCCTTTTTTCCTAGTCCTATCAAGGAAAAGTATATTAGAATTCTGAAATTGTCAGAATTCAAGATACATTTTTATAGAAGTCAAAATATATTAAACAAAATGGATGTGTTTTGTCAAATCCAAAATAAAATGTAGATTTTCAAGTACTCTTTTAAATAAAAGGCTTTTTTTAAGTGATTAAGTTTACCAAGTCTTTTTCTAATAAAGGAATTCTCCCAGTAAACTAAAAACCTGACATAGAGGTTTTGTGCTTTTACAGAACTTGATTTTCAGGCACCAGCATTTCCATTAGGATTACTGAATGGGTAGCTACAGGGCAAGAAGCAAAGAAAGCAAATGAGAAGCTATTTATAAATGAAGACAAAGCTACTGAAATTTAAAAATAAACTTAATTAACTTGTGTTAATTGAACTTCCAATTTTTTAAATCATTTACCTGAATGAATTTATATGAAATTGAGTCTCAACTGTACAGTTAGAAATGCACAGTTCTTTTGGGATTTAAAAACCACCAGTTATTCAACTACAGATTAACAAACTTCACAGTAAAAGGAGTTGAGCAATCAGAGCTATTCATAGATAAGTATGATTAAATTATGGGTGAATAACAAGTCAACTGAATAAAGTCCATTTATTAAAAAGCAAGTAAGTAATCAAACAGGGCAATGTTCACAATTATGAATGACCTTATATATTTTTCTCACACTCAAGTATTAAGATTCAACATTCCTTCATCAGTTGAAGAATTAAAAGATCTATACAAATGTGCCCACCAAATGTACACTATTCTAAAGAAAATACAGTTTGGTGGCAGGGATATTCAATTTAATTCATTGTAAGAGTTCATCTATAAAAACTTTATTGCCAAAATTAGTAAATTTGTTTTGTGAAAAAAGTGCTTATGTTTTTCAACTCAAACATGCAATGACTAGGTTTTGCAATCTTCCAATCAAAAATAAAAATGCTGACAAAATATAAAAATCTGAAACAGGGTCCTTCCTGGTGGTGCAACAAGTTAAAGCTCAGCAGTATGAAGCTATCCACAGCCACTGCAGCATGAGTTCACACCCTGGTCATGGAGGTGACCCACATGGTGCAGCAGTCCTCTCCTATTCCACCCACTGCTCCCCTCAGCAGTGTATTTCAGGCAATCTGCCTGTTCTGTTTCCTACTCTGTCTCTGGAGAATCCCCTCACCCCCACACACACACACACCTCTGGGCCTGTACCCCAATTCTTGTATGCATTTTTTTAAACAGCTGAAACTAATTTCTGAGGGAGAAAAAATTATCTAAAAATCCTGATGCAAAGTTAAGCCAACAACTTATTCACAATTTCATGAAACATTAATGAAAGGGTTATATAATTCTCCTGGATTAAAGATTTTAAAAAGAGCTGCAAGAATCTTTCAATTTTCAATACTGCTTTCTCTGTTCTTATACTCATAAAAGCAGACTTTCACCAACTCTTTCTAAACAAGAGACATCTAATTTTCAATAGACAAGCAATCAAACCAAGAGCAGCACAATGTAGACAATATGCTCTCAAAATAATTTAATACCACAGACTACATTTAGGCCCCCCAAACAAGTAAATTTACAATATATACCACATCCAGTTCACTCTCAAGGGAGAAAAACACCACAACGTAAGTCCCTGCTTAATAAACTATTTACTTAGTTGTTAAGCTTCTATCTCTGGTTCATTTTATCAAGTATTATCATTGTTTCTTCCCTCTTCAAAAAATTTACAAATCTATAATATACCATTTAATTTAGTTCCTTTAAAAATGCTTTTGTAGTATGTATTGTGTTAGTACAAGGCCATGAAAAGCTTCAAAATTACTTTCTAAAAACAATATCTTTCCTTTTTAAAATGTGTCTTATTTGGTTTTTAGTTATTTTCTGTACATAAAGTGTTCTTAAACCAGTGTGTTTCAGTGTTAGTGATTTGTTGCCAACCTGCTGTTTATAATTAGGTTATTTACAGACAATGCTTTACAGTATGGGATACACAAGAGGGCACAAGTAAAAGAAAAGTGTAGCACATCTTAGAAACACCACTCAGTTTCATTGCTTTGCCTCAAATTTCCTCAAGTATTCAGGCCAATAATTATATCTAAAGAGGCACTACAAAATATGTGATAAGGCAAACGTGAGAAACCAAATCAGACACTGAAGAAATTTAATAGACTAGCACCACCTGAGAAAGAATTCCCATGAAAAAATAAATCATAACCCAGCTCCCTGCTTTCCATACTAATAGGTTGCTTTTGCTGTGCTACAGGCTCAAAACAGTTTTTCAAACTCTTTGACTGTAAGAAATGTATTTTACATTGTGACTTAGTACACACATGTATGATGAGAAAACTGCCAAAATAACAATTCACCTCACCTAGTGCAATACCAGTCAGTTCTGTTCTATTCTCTTTATTCACAATGCTGATGATAACTGATTTTATAAATCACTAATCAATCATGACCCAGTTTGAAAAACAGACTTAAAACAGTATATCTTTATAATAGGATCTTTTTGGCAATTTGCCCTCCTATCTCTAGCAATGTGAAGAGGTATTTTAAGGCTGCTATACTATTACTGTTTTCATTAAAGCAAGTGGTTCTTAAAGTGTAGTTTGCTAACAAAAGCAACACCTGAGAGAAATGTAGTCTCAAGGCCCACCTCATAACTACTCAATCAGAAACTGTAAGTGGGATAAGCATTCACCAGCCCTCCAGGTGATTCTGATGCCAGCAAAAGCTTACAAACCACTAATTAAAGAAGGTGGGGGAGGACCCAAAGGTCTAGCTTAAAGGACTATGGATGCTTAAATGGTGGAAGCAGCATGGTAACATCAGAGAAGGTGTGAACCTAATCCCCTAAATCATATGCAGTATTCGGAACCACTGTTACCAATAAAGGGGAGGAGGGTAAACACAAGTCACTCTACATTCTCTTTTTAACAATGCAGTGCACAGTGCTTACTCTGAGCAAGTCACTACTCCAAAGCGCTTTAAGTTAAAAAATAAACAAAAAACATAAAAACCATCACATCTCTATTGTACAAATGAGAAAACTTTTGCACAGAGAGGTGAAATTTTCCCAGCGGTGGTGGAACTGGAATTCAAACATTTCTAATTTGGTGAGGGTGTGGTATTCTCTTCATGACTTTCTGATTAGGTCCTTTACTTCAGCTTTTACTCCCTCTTTCCAAATCCCTATCCTGTCAATTTCCTTATTTTCTAATATCACTGCTGTCTTCCTAATATAAATGTCTAAACCACCAGAATGCAATTCACCTAATCTCGCTTTTAGGACCTTTCGCCTGGTCCCAGATGGCGTCTTGGCATTTGAAGTCCTTAGAACCCATTATGGTTCCACTGTGAATGTTTCGTGTCTGCTACTCAGGCCAGTTTCCACAAAAACCCTACTCTTGCTGAGCAACTTTCTCGCTCCCCCCCACCCCTACTGCGCCTATCCACTCTGCCTTCCTGCTAGGAAATTATTTCTCCCCGGCCCTACCCCGATGTCATTTTGCTTGATTCCTCTCCAGGATTATTTCCACTTCCCAGATAGACCCCTTACCCTAGTCTCAAACTGAGCTCTACTCCTGGAGGAGTTTTTCTCTTGTCCCCCGGGGATTCTCAGACCCAAGAGCTCCCAGTCAGGTCTTGGGTCTCCTATCCCAGACCAGCGGCAGAGGGCAAGGAGCTACGGTTCCTCCCCACGCAGTTCAAGGTCTCCACGGGTCCCCCCTTCCCAAGATCCGCGGGTCCTCATCTCCTCAGAATACCTCCTCCCGGGACAGCCGCCTTCTCAGGAGGGTCCCCTGACCCTCCTTGCCCTTCCTCAGACGCCCTGGCTCGGACCCAGGCCGCTCCCTGTCACCGGAGACCCGGGTCGCCCTCGCTCTGCCCGCCGCCCTTCTCGCTCCGACCCCGGCCACTCCCAGTTTCCCGGCCCCCCAGCTCTCTCCAATGGGGCCGCTCCCAGGGTTCCCGGGCTTCCCTGCTCCTCCGCACCCAAGCAGTCCGGGGTATCCCCGTGCGCCCACAAGCCAGGTCGTTACCGGTCACTGAGGGTCATTCCTTCCCCTCTCTGGGACCCCGGCCGCTTCGTCTCCCCAGGGAGCTGCCCCCAACACCAGGTCACCGGTCCGTGCCCCAGACCCGCGCAGCAAGACGTCCCACGAAGCCGCCCCGCCGGGCCCGCCCGGCTCCAGCCCCAGTCTCCCTCGGCAGCGCGAACTCCGCGGCCGGGAACCGGGCCATTCTCCCACCAGCCCAGTCAGCGCGAACTCGCCGCCGCCGCCCCCGCCTCCGCCCTGGCCCCGGCCCGACCCGGCCCGAAGTCCAGGCCCCCTTGCTCCCGCCTCCGCCTCCGAAGCGCCAGGTTTGAGTTTCCGCCCAGCCACGGCCCCCTGGACCTCAGGCTCGCTTCACCCGCACTCACCTGCAGCTGCCCACGACCAACTCCTGAGCCACTGCCTCTACCTCGGCCGCCAGCAGCCACCAAGCACCACCACCTCCCCCATGACAACAGGCCCTCCCTGTTTCATACTTCTGAGCTCTCCATTGGATGGTGGGGCAGCGACTCTCTGCTCTGATTGGTTTAGTTTACCTCCCGGTCATGGCTTCTTTACCGCCCCTTTTCCTGGACCCAGTATTAGCCCCCGCCCGGACTTGGAGCGTCCTAGACAAAACTTTAGTTGTAATTGGTTGACGGTTGGTCAGTTCGAAGTTTTGATAGGCTGCTGAAAGTGTCTGTTAAGTAAACTGGCAAGAGCTGTGACGGCCAAGCTTGGTTCAAGCTTGGGCACAGTTTGGTTGCAGAGTAGAGAGCTGGAAAGTGGAAAGCTCTACTCCGAGGTTACTGGGGAAGGGTTAACTCTTTGTTGTAGAATTCACTCTTAAAACTCTTCGCCTCGTCCAGCGCCCTTCCTATAAAAGGTAGTTAGCCACTGCTAGTTTACTCATAAGGTAGTAGTTACAATACACCAACATCAGAGGCTGTGTTTAAGAAGTATATCCGACCCCCTGGTCTGGAACTTATTTTTATGTAAAATAAAAAATTTCTCCCTTTTTTTCTTGCAGTCCTAATGTGCCCTGATTCCTTGAAGTGCTTTCTAGAAATCTCCATGCTAAAGGGCAAAGTACAACCGTAGAAACCATTCCTCCTCGGTTGCAATTGTAAGCCTCGTTAATAAACTGAAGTGGCGTGTTGAGAGTTCTTCCATGCCCAAGCTCAGCCCTGACTGGTTCCTGGAAAAGTCCACGCAGCCATCTGAGAGCTGAGACTAAGTGGGTCACGGTTTACCCGTGTGGTGAGAATTCCGTTCTCCCCACCACCCGACTTGAATTTTATGTTCAGCCATTCTTAAATAACCCGACTAGATGTGTGTCAAATACTTAAAGTGCTTGCCTTTTTTTTTTTTCTAAACCTCTCTTCTTAGCACTCTAAATTAGAACCATTGAATGAATTGCAGTTCCTTTCTCACATTGGCACAATGCACCAGAATAAATGATTGCATTTTTTAAAAATTCATTTGGGTACAAATCACAGTAGGCATTTTTGAAAAATCTGGTGTTGCTATAAAAGCTCTTGTGCTCCTAGAAATATAGCCATCATTAGCTTTTTGGTTTTCATTTTTCACTTCCACCCACTTTTCCTGCTCCTATATAATAAAATGCTGGCCTAATTACTCTTTCAATTTCTGATTTAAATGTAGCTTCCTTGCAGTTCCACCCATGGACCATGAAACATACATTCAGGGATGGACTAGGACTGGTCAAAGAGCTACTCCTCTCGCAAGCATTACTTCATTATTGGGAACTTCCTGTGTCACTAGGACTCTGGACTAAAGTTTTATGCTTTGCCTTTTCTTTTTCCTGCCTACTTTCTCTTTCATATCTCTTCCATTTACCCTTCTGTCCTTTGTAAAACAAATTCCAGTGAATCTGAGACCACATTGTTATCCAGGAAAAAAAAAAGTATTTTCAAGCCTATATTAATAGCTATTTGAATAAACTCCATACCTTTATCACCAAACTAAGCGGAAATTATTTCTCCAGTAACTATACATAACAATAAGGTGTCTTTTCCTAGTTATTTTCCGGAAATTTCCTCCCCCTTCTCTTATCCTCACCTTCCAATTTAGAAATAACCTCCCCTTCAGTTCAATGACTCATAAAAAGCCTCTAAAAGGAAAGTGGAAAAGCCAAAATAACTTCAGAGATGTCTGAATCATTTAGTTAAGGGAAAGATAGGACATTGACCATGATAAGATGGAAACTAAGACAGAAAGCAAGCCCCAGCAAACACCCCATAACAAATGAAGTAACATACAAATGTGAAGATGACACAGTGAGCAGGAGGTATCAGTGTGTCCTTTTACAGCCTTTTAATACATTACCAGCCGTTTTTTTCCTTTCTAGTCTTGGCTGTGTGCCCTACCTACCAATTTTAGAGCAAGTTAGGAAGGCAATTAATGTCCTGGCAGATAGGAAATAATAACGTCATAGGAAGGCATGGCCATTATTATGGTACTTTGGGTAATAATGGCTCTTGCACAGCCATAGTGACTAGGTGCCACAAAGAACATAAAATTAGGCCAGCCCTCACCAAGAGGACTTGCCATCTGAGTAAAGGAACTGCACAAATTATCACAAAGCTATAAAAAGTGTCACAAAAATCAGCCAGCCATTCTATTCCATACACTAAAACAATAAAAGTATTCAGAAATGGTTTTGCTCATACAGAACACTCCACCACTCCTATTCCTGTGAAAACCAGTTAAGAAATGTATCATAGACATGTGCAACTCAGAGAAAACCTTAAAGAGGAAACATTCTTTGATACAGAAGACTGTTATGTTATTGAAAGCCATATAAATAGCTGGAAAAGTTATTGCTTATACCTGATGTTTTGATTTTGCATGTACAGGTAACCTTATAAGGTAATTATTCCATCTAGCTTCTCATTTCTTTCCCGAGTTACGTGCTTCTCCAACACTCTCACAGGCCCCTCTTAGAAAGCAAGAACACTGGAGTCTGGGAGTCTGCAGTTTTGTGTGTGTGGCTGGCTGTGGAGGTGGTGTAGATGCTATCTGTTAAAGTCACTTGAGCAAGACCAGGATAGCAGGTATATTGAAGGCAAAAATAGTCTTTCTAAATCGTGATTAAGTCAAAATTGAAAGATGCAGAACACTGTCCCAATATCTAGAGTTAGTATGGTTTGCCTTGGGCTTCAGTGTATGCTGATGAAACATTTTGTTCTTTTCTTTGCTATCCTTGCTCCCATTTTATCATATCACTTTTCAAAGGAGCAGAATGCAAGTCTTCTTTTATTTCCATTTTATTCCAAGGAAGCTATCTGGCCAGGGAAAAGCTCCTTTGTTTGTTTTGTTTTTTGGTTTGTTTATTTCCCCTTGAATTCTACACACAATTCCAAGTGAACTAGAGACACAAACACTAGTAAAGGAGAAAATCACCCCCCCCCATACAACATCAGAGCCGCCTGCTGCTAGCTGTTGGAGGTAAGCCAAGATATTTGATAAGAAATTGTTCCCTGAATTAGGGATCCTTGATGGTAAATGCTGATAGGTATGAAGGGGATCAACAAGTAGGAGACAGACAAACAGACAGGCCACCATCAGAGTGCTGACCCAGCTTAGGGTCCTGCCCCCCACTCTCTAGCTGTGGACTTTACCCAGGTTGCATAATTATACCAACCAAGTACAGCCTCTGCCACTGACTGAAAGGGAAACAGGGCCAGAGCTTTAACCTGTGGGACCTTTACTCTACTGCCACCTGGAAATTCACCTTAACCTCAAAGCCTGCTATTCTGACACCAGGATAAAGCTTCCAAGGAAGGACAGATCCATACAGCTAGCCAAGTATATCTTTGTTAATTCATAAAGGTGACTATTGGCATGAAGCTCTGGATGAAAAAAGAGACTCTCTGGGAAAACCATCCCATATTGGGGAGCTTCCAACACAGGGAAGTGCCAAGGTGCTTTCAATGCTGAAACGAAACTGTGGTTTCAAAGTTCAAAGCTCTGTTCATGGATGGGATTTAAAAAAAAAAAAATAGCCAATGGATGAGGGTGTTTTGGAGGCAGAACCATTTGCTTTTCAATTCTACGGGTTGTGTGATTTTTAAATAGTATACCATACCTTTTCATTACTCAGTGTGTACATTTTCATCCTCAAGAATAATGTGTCTTACCCTCCTACTTGTATGTTCTAGGTAGGTGGCTCGAGTGCTTATAAAATGGGAGAGCTGCAGCCCTTAGCTCCGCCATTGTGCTATTGAATGGAGCCCTTAGTTACTATCACCAGATCTAAGGGTGGACCAGCCATTCTTCTGCAGCAGGGAGTGGGCCACTTAGTGCCATTTAACTTTCGTCCATCCCTGTTTTATGTACACACAAAGAGTTTCCTGGAAACATGGCTGAACTCCAAGGATTTCACAGAGTAGAATGTCTCCTAGAACTCCAATTCCCCAATCACTTGGGAATCTCATAAGAAAAATGAACTTAAATTCACTCATCATTGACTTTAACTAGGTAACATTGGGAAAGCTGATGGAGTCTCTCTAAGATTTAGTTTCTTCATCTACCAAGTGGGATATGTATTAGTCATCTATTTTTGTATAATAAATCACTCCCAAAAGTCAGTAGCTTAATATTTACTATCTCAGTTTCTGAGGGTCAGCTCCTGGTATAAGTTAGCTGGGTCATTTCTCTCTGGGTCTCTCACAAAACGGCAGTCATCCCAAAATGAGAGTCTTTCAGAAATTAGTTGAGATAAAACTACTTTCTAGCAGGATTGTTGTTGGCAGGATTCAGTAGCACATAGTCTTTAAGTTAAGGCCTGAGGTCCGCATAAGCTCTTGCCCAAAGACCTCCCTCAGTATCTTGCCTTGTAAGTCTTTTACAAGGCAGTTCAAAACATGGTGGCTGACTTTCTCACAACAAAAGAGAGGGCCAGCAAGAGAAAGTCTTCTCTAGTTAGACTCCTGCCACCGAGACAGAAGTCAATCTTTTCCAATCAAATCCCAGAAATGACATTCCATCACTTTTGCCACATTATATTATTTATAAGCAAGCCATTAACTCTTATCTTAAGGAGAGAGGATTACAAATATATACATACTAAGGTTTCACTGGAGCTACTTTAGAAGCAGCCTACCTTAGTATAATAATAATAATAATACCTACTTGTCAGGCTCATTTAAAGATAACAGTGAAATGCTCAATTCAGAGCCTGGCACATATTATATAACTGACTATATATAATAACTATTATTACTATTAATATTATTATTATGTATATAATGACTGGTTTTCCCTCCCTTCTAGCTGCTAGAAGGAAACCTTTTATGAGGAATAATTGAGATAATTTACATAATTTAGGACCTGACACATAGTAAGTGCTCAGTAACCATTAGTTATCATTGATGTTATATGAGTGTGTGATATTTCATTGCCTCTTCATACTAATGCACAGATATATATGCTTATGATAACTTTTCCAGAATGGTCTTATTTTCAATTATTTAGTTTCATTTATCCTCATGTACCCCAT